GATTATCACTGCACAATGTATTGAGCAATTTGTTTATGTTTTAAACAAACAATTAATATATTTCACTGATTGAGATCATGAGTCAATTGAAGCTAGACCACCATGAAAAACCTGGAAGAACTAGACGGCCGTTTCGTCCTAGTATGGGACTCCTCGGTAGTGCGCACCCACGATCCCTCACCTCTTGAGATTCGAACCTAGGACCTATCGGCCTCGCGCCAGACGCTTAACCAACTAGACCACTGAGCCGGCATCCAGCGGTGTTAATGTCTAACTTCAATTGGTTCGTGAAGTTGCGCCAACTTACACCATTGTCTTCATTTGGTTGATATCTCACAATAGACCTGACTCACTGATGCGGAGTGCCATACTAGGACGAAACGGCCGTCCAGTGCTTCCAGGTTTTTCATAGTGGTCTAGCTTAAATTGACTCCTGATTTTAATCAGTGAAATTTCTAAAATCTCCACAAAACCTCTTCTGATAAAATTAATATATTACTAAATAAAAGTTGTGAGGCTATCATTTATGGGCGAACCAATCAGATTTAGAATATCAGGTCTCGGATATTGGTGCAAAATTCATTCACCCAATTGTCTAAATAGCATCTTGACATTTAAACTAATGTCATTTTGTGATGAAAACCATAAATTTAATTCCTAACCCTAACAAACAACTGTAAATCGTAATCCTTACTCTTCATACTGCTTTATAACCATCATTTAACACTAGTATGTAGGTGGACATTCCCAAAGCCACTTTAGCATCGACCAATGGTGGTCCATAAATTATACTCTTACTAATATTATTAACTATTAATTCAAGTGATATTCATAGGTTTATATGAATTTTAATAAAAGATGGTCTAATGTGTCAGTAGAAGCTCAAATTTATTCTTAGACTCATAAATGATAAATGTAACAGAGGAATTAAAAGAATCTCTATTAATATTTTTATATTTCATTCTTCTGTGGTGTATGTTACTTATGTTGACATAAGTAATATATAACGAGAACCAGAAATAGAGTGTTTGGCAATAAAATATTGAAGAGATCGAGAAGGGAAGAACGGGAATAGAAGACAATTGGTATGAAGATGAAGTAACACTGAAGTCCGAGACAATTAATGAACATTTCGCAAATGAAATATTAAAGTATGGTTTGTCTGTTTTGCCAAGTAACATTGTAATTTTGTGTTAAATATTGTCGGTTGTCCTCATCTGTGTTCTCTTTCACTAAACTTCCACATATTGTGGTAAGATAAAGGTAGAAAATGGACATTTACACTAAAAAGTATTTAGTCTTCGGTTTCTATTCAAATTTGCAATGTATATTACTCTTCTGATTAGCCACAGATAACTTATGACATTTTCTTCTCTGTCTTTTATCATTATTATTTACAAAATAAATATGATAAAAATTAACTGTTCACTCAATTTTATTAAATTTCATGAAAAACTATGATGTTTACAGTTTTGCTTTAATGGCAATCAACTAGTCGTTCTGGGGAGAAATAAAAGTTGATTCAACCACCATTTCCCTCTTCCCGTAGAAAGATAAACTAACTACAATATTAAGCTAAAAATCAACTTCAAAATGCTGAATTCAGCAGAAAAAAGATTAAAATATATGAAGCTCGAGGAACACGAAACAATGTGTGGTGGTCATGAAAAAGTTTGGAATGTAAATTTTTATGGATGATACCAAATTAAAAAAGCAAGTCAATGTGTAATTATTTATTTAGACGCTAGAACATCAAAACGAATGACTTGCTAATCCCTATAAAATGTAATATTTGACAGTAATGCCATTTTTCATCCGTTTCTTCCCCAACTTTTTGTATGTGTTGACTTTTATCCAGGACTTTTGTAGCAATATTTCCATATTTCTTAGTCTCCTCTGAACAAACGTTTATTATTTGACATTAATTGTGACTCCTTTTTGGAATTACACTGTTATTGTATCCTACCGGACATTTGACAACATGGTTTTGCTTGACCGAAGTCGAGGTTATGGGGTAAAGCGCATAATTGCTGTTACATTTTGGGAACATTTTTTTTCTTGAGTAGATTCTTCTAGACAGGATTTCGATTACATTTGGTTGAGAATACTTTTGTTGAATCCCAGGTACTTGACAGTTGTATTTAGTCACCATTTTATGCTGAATACCTGTTAACGAAATATAGAATGAACTAAAGCATGTTCCGTGCAGCATTATGTTAGGTCACGTTGATTGGTCATGTCTCATCTAAGAAGCGCTAGCGGTTGATTTGAGAAGACTCGAAAACGTCATGTAAAAACCATAATTATAATAACGCTTTCCTTACTGTATGTCCTATTTCCATCTTCCTTTTTCATTTGGAATGTAATTTCGTTCCTGTTAAACCGTGTTCTGATTTGGGGACCTGTTGAGTGAAGTCGTGTCCAAGAATATTAAGCAACAAGCGTAACTAGGTCATAATAAGAGAATTTAGAGAAATACTACGTTATTTTGTTCCAAAAATACTTTTTACTGTGTATTGGCCAAGAGTCAATTTGAGGTACCTTATATTTTGATATATTCTATTATTGAATGGTATCACAGATGTGCATACTCTAAATTGTATTTTGATGTAGGTGAGATATAACCGCAGACCGTGAGCTACTTAAGGCAATCTTTGCACCCTATACATAAAAATGCAATGGTTCCACTTAATCAAATTAACCTTGCTTTCGTTTGATCATTTTTTTACTTTCAATTTGAATATTTGAACTCGTTTCAACTAATGATCCCCTTCATCATTTATCATCATAAGAAAATTCTACGAGAGTATAAATTAAAGTGGACTTACACAAGTATCTTGAAGAGATTATACTAAGCGGATTGCATAGTTGATAGTGTTGTGTGCTTCTAGTCATTGGAAGCCGAAATCGGTTAATGAGCTCATAACGACATCTGTGTGAGCGTCTTTTTGTGGATTTTCCCAACGTTGTGAACTTTCATAGCATAATTTACATCGACTCAGACTTATTTTGTAATCTCCATCGTTCTTTGAAATAAAGGGTGGGATTAGCCGCATTGTTGTATTTTATGGGTTGAAAGAGTAAAAATTGTCTCCCGCTTTAGAAATCGTTCATCATGAGCATTAGGGGTTATAAAACGAAGATACGCTGCATTCAAAGGTGTCGAAAATAACTAATTTTTTCCTCAAAGAATGAACAGTATTTGAGACTGTAAATGCTATATTTCCTTGGATAAATTAGTAAAAGACCTGACACCACATAAGTAATAAAATATGAATCAATCTTCCAGTTGTTTCTTTACAATCAAACTTCCCGTTATACTACTTCATTTGAATAATCCACTTGTTCATCTACAACGTATTTAAAAATTCATGTAAATTGGCTACATCCTTGCTGAAAAGTGCACGGGATGACTCCACTGAAGCTCGGAAATAGGAAAGCAGTAGCCTGAAGTCGTCAGATGAAGACTGTAAATTTAATCATGAATAATATCCGAGTAATAAACTGTCAAACCAGTCTATCATGCAAAAATGATTATGTCTCCTGCGAGGTTTCATTTGAATTTAAAGAACCAAAGAAAACTTAACGGCAAATAAAGGCATCGGAACTGCGAACGGTGATATACATTTTCTTTAAAGTAAAATCTTCGGTAGGTCACATATGTACTCACATTATGAATTAAAACGAGGTCTAAATGGGTGACCAAGTGATGAAAGAAAGCTACAGTCACATGAATTAAAATCACTATACGAAATTGAACCACTGAAAGCTGTAACAAAAAATTGGATTCATCAGTGAGCATAAATGATGTGTATTCAGTAGTGATGTGGATGTTGGCAACATAAACACCAGTTCACGTTTACATACGTAACTACATCATTGCGATAGACATTGAAATCTTGTAGCGACACTAAGCATTTGTTTTGTCAAACATATAGCAAGGATTCTTGAACTGTGATTACACCACAGTTGCGATAGATGCTTCAAAATGTCTGCTTTTTCGCCTGTCCATGGGAAATAGTGAAAACTCCCCCATTTTTGTTGCTCTGTCTCTCGAATGTTTCTGAATTGTTGACTTTTCGCTTAAATATACGCTGAATTGTCTACTTTTCCTCCAACTTTTAAAACACCATTAGCGTAACTCCAAAGGTCTTCTGCATTCGCCTTTATTCCCACAACACAACACACTTAAACTGCAATCCATGTGAAAAATGGTATATGTTTAAAATAATTTATTGAAAAATGTGTATTATCATACAACATTATAGCAGAAGCTTGAGCATCAGTCGTTATGCATTTTCATTGTAATTGCTAATTCATTGTTATTTGAAAAGATCAGAAAAAGAAAAGACGGGTGATTTATTATTAAGGCATGTGTATTCATTTGCAAGTTCACTGAAAATCAAACAAACTTTCTCAACAATTCAATAAAGTCCCATGTACGTAAGAAAGCAAGCTCATTTTCAAATAAATGTTTATTGAAAAATAAGTTTAACATAAAAAATATTCCACGCCTGTTCGACTATTGAGAATCAAAATAATCTGAATTGTAAAGAACAAAAAGTTACAACGATATCTGGATGACATGCTTTCGTATAACTAGTTACTTGAAGCTTCAATTACGGTTATGTTCGTTAAAACTGATAACTGTACATATAGAACAGTAGCGTAAAGTTATCACTTTGAATTACTAAATACCTGTTCTTGTTTCCTTCGATCACGCTTTATTAATTTGTCTCTGACGTCGTGAAAATAAGCTTGTGTAGCGATGTCGTACAGTTTTGTGAAGATATGACCAACAAACTTATTTTGTAAATAGTTTTTAATATTATTTGTATTTATTTTGTCAATTTTTCACTGTATGTACATTTATCATTAAATGACTGTACGTGTTGTTTTAGTCAATAACCTTGAACACTTTTTCCGTTGTGTAACTACATAGCGTGACATATGGTTGCTTCCTAACAAATACATTGCTGCACACACACACACTCCTTGTTCTATAGAACCTCACGATCAACAGAGTCGAATGCCGCCTTAAGGTCGAGAAGTACTACGATTGTGGGACGTCTGAATATGTGTCTGTGTTCTTGAACCTGACGTAGTGTAAATATCTGGTCTATACAACCACGTCCAGGTCGAAAACCAGCCTGGTTTTCTCTAGTCTTCTCTTCACGTGCTTTGATTAGGCGTCGAAGTATTATTGAGGCTAATATTTTAGACACTATATTAGTCAAACTGATTCCTTTGTGATTGTCACAAGAGGACTTTTGTCCTTTCTTAACAACTGGCACAATCAGTGATTGAGACCAGTCACATGGGATTACGTTCAGTTCCCAAATTCTACCTAAGACCTCAGTTAATCTCACTGCTAATACTGGAGCACCATCCTTAAAAATCTCAGGAGTAAACCTGTCAGGGCCTGCTGCCATCCCTCGTTTCAGATTTCTTATGGTTTTTTCAACTTCGTAAAGAGACGGAGGACTTACATTAACTTGCCATTCATATTGACTGGAGATTGTGGGAAACCGGAGTGTGGCTGAAGGCCAGTTGAACTGATCCCTGAAGTGTTCTGCCCATCGATCAAGTCTCCTGGATTGAGAGTGTATAATATGTCCATCTTTCTCTGAGATTGTTTCGCTAACAGTCGGTTTCCTAATTCCGGTTTCCTTAACAAGTCTGAACAATTGTCTGCTATTACCTATTGCCGCTGCCTTTTCCATCTCTCTTGCTTTCGCTACCCATCACAGTTCACGATCATTGCGTAGACTTCTTGTCAGTTTGCGCTTAAGCTGACTCCGTTCTTCATTATGTTCAAAGCCAGGTGGAATGAGTTCCCGAGCACCTATCAGTGCGATAGATGCTGCTGAGATCTGTAGCAAGCCCATTCAACTAATGTTTCATTTGTCTACTCACTGTAATTCAGACACTTAATTCATCATGTTAATTTGTGTGCATTTCAAACTCTTAATTCACTATGTTAATTTCGGTGTGTATGATCGAATGTATGTCTGTACATCAACTCTTAAGCTATTTTCCTATTGGTTTCAATATGCAGATAATCGATAATCTATCCACACCCGATTAACTCTCAAATATATATGGATTTTTAACAGACTCACTCACTCTCTCTGTTTCATCGTGTGCTTGCTCACCGTACGCTTGTGGATTATTATTATTCAATAACAATAAACTATCTCTATAACTGGTGTTCGGGCTTTTTAATAATCTCGAAGAAATTCGCAATTCTACTAAGAGATTAAGCCTACCTAAAATACTCAGTTACGGGATATTATCATTTGGAGTCAGATATTGAGGACATTATCCTCAACATATTGGTGAACCGCTTTTAGAACACACACCATTCCTCTACGAATTCTGCTGCATACTCTCCAAGCGTATCTTAAAGAACTTCACATTGGAATTACTATTACAATTATTAACAATTCATTAACAGTCATAATAAATCCATCCATAACATTGTTCCTTTGGAATTATTGCTGTATATTCGCATATTTAAACCAAAAGTGACAGTTTTTCTTTTTGGTGAGTCTTATATATATTTCTTGTTGTTATTTTTGATTTCTCTTCATATTGTATATTACAATCCTCGGCTTATTATTACTATTGCTTCTTAGTATCATGGCACTTGATAATTCGCTAAGCCTTTCATCTAAATCTATTTCCGTGGGTGCCATCTCTGTACCTTTACCTACTTTTAATCCACGAAAGGCTGAACTCTGGTTCGCTCGTTTAGAAAGCTTTTTTGTAGCAAACAAAATCACAAACCAGAGTACGAAATTTAGTTATGCAAATTCACTGCAGCCAGATGACGTCATTGAACAAGTGCCGGATGTCATTTTTAAGCCGGATCCTGACGCACCATTCGATTGTCTAAAAAGAGAGGTCATTCGTGTCACATCTCTCACTGACCAACAGACAATCGATCAACTCTTAGCCAACGTCGAGCTAGGTGACAATACACCGTCACAGTTAAAACGCCACATGACAAACGTATTAGGAAATCGTACAGTAGACAAACGTCTACTATATCAATTGTGGCTCAGACGTCTTCCTCAAAACATTCAAAAGATACTAGCAATTGGAGACGAAGACGTTGATTTTGATAGGCTAGCAGACATAGCCGACAGAATTTACGAACGGTCCAAGACTCACCTTGTATCTCAAATTCAATCAAGTTCAGCTGACGAGATCGCCGAGTTACGACGATCAGTTGATATCCTTACGAAACAGATAGCTCACATCCAATTATTGAATGCCTCCCACAGCAAGCGTAGAGGAACATCCACAAGCCGTAGACGACGTAGTCCAAGCACTACTAGACACAACATGTGCTGGTACCATAGAACATATGGCAAACAAGCTAGAAAATGTATTCCGCCTTGTAACTTTGCAAGCACACAGAAAAAGGGACGTCAAGACCGCAGGTTAATGACGACTGCACTCACTGATCACAACTCTCAAGACAGTCGTCTATTATATGTTACAGACAAAAGAACCGGCACACAGTTTTTAGTCGAAACTGGGGCAGAGGTTAGTGTAGTACCACCCACTGCACTCGAGAAAAACACACCTGACCCTAAACTAAAACTACAAGCTGCAAACAGGTCTGACATCAAGACGTACGGCAAAAGGCGGTTGCAATTAAATTTCGGTCCTAAATCTAATTTTTCCTGGAGTTTCATCATAGCGGACGTCCTCGTTCCTATAATCGGCATTGATTTTCTGCAATTCCACAAAATACTGGTAGACGTCAGAAATAGGAAACTTGTCCTTGCCGAACAGAGTAAGGAAATTAGAGGAATTATATCAAATGAGACTTCCATACATTTATTAGTTAAACCTCATCATGAGAACGACAAATACGTCAATTTACTTAATCAGTTTCCAGATTTATTACGACCGAGTTTCAAACACGAAAAACCGACGCATACCGTCGTACACCACATAAAGACAGAGGGTCCACCAGTGTTCGCACGTCCAAGACGCCTTGATCCCTCTCGTCTCGCTATCGCAAAGAACGAATTCAACAAAATGATTGAGTTGGGCATCATACGCCCCTCCGATAGTCCGTGGGCATCACCGCTTCATATGGTACCTAAGAAAAACTCTTCCGAAGTTAGACCGTGCGGTGACTATAGAGCTCTCAACAGCCGGACCATACCAGATAGATATCCTCTCCCACATCTGCATGACTTCACTCATAGCCTATCTGAAGTGTCGATCTTTTCAAAAATTGATCTCGTCCGTGCTTACCATCACATTCCAATTCATCCGGACGATGTTCCTAAAACAGCCATTACTACCCCCTTTGGACTATACGAATTCGTCCGCATGCCTTTCGGATTAAGGAATGCTGCACAAAGTTTCCAGCGTTTTATTGACCAAGTGGTACGGGGCTTACCGTTTGTGTATGCTTACATAGATGACCTACTTATAGCAAGCAAAGATGAAAATGAACATCTAACGCATCTGAAAATGCTTTTTGAGAAGCTAAACGAGTATGGGTTAGCGGTCAATCCTGACAAATGTGAGTTCGGAAAACAATCCCTCACCTTTTTAGGTCACGTACTTGATAAGCAGGGCATTAAACCAGTTCCTGAGGAAACACAAGCTATCAAAGATTATCCTTTGCCTGATTCATTCAAGAAACTACGACGTTTCCTTGGGATGATCAACTTTTACAGACGTTTTATCCCTAAATGTGCAGACTTAGCAAAACCACTAACTGATTTATTAAGGGGACGAGCTAAATCATTAGCAATGACACCGCAAGCAATTCAAGCATTTGATCAGTTGAAAAGCGCTTTAAGCACAGAGGCATTACTCGCACGACGAAAGGTTGATTCACCTTTAGCAATAATGACCGACGCTTCTAACGTAGCAGTAGGTGCTGTACTTCAGCAACGTGTCAATGAACAATGGCAACCCCTTGCATTTTTCTCAAAAAAGCTAAACGCAACGCAAACAAAATATAGCACATTCGGTAGAGAACTGTTGGCTATCTACTTAGCCATCAAACACTTTCGCTATATGTTAGAAGGCAATTCTTTCACGATATATACTGATCACAAACTCCTAACTAAGTCCTTGATGCACAATCATGATAAATATAGTCCGCGCGAAATTCGTCAACTAGAATTCATTTCACAATTTGCAGCTGATATACGCTATATGCAATGCAAATGAGGCAGCAGATGCACTATCGAGATTAAATATCAATACCTTCTCGATCCCTGATATAGACTATCAAGAAATGGCAAAGCATCAAAAGCTCGATACAGAGCTACAAAAGCTTTTGCAGTCTAAGGAAACAAAATTATTATTCCAAAACATCCCCATAAACAAGAAGGACACCTTAACTTGTGATACCTCAACAGGTAAAACTCGCCCTTTTGTACCTTTCGGTATGAGACGAAATATTTTTGAGAAATTACACAATATATCTCATCCAGGTATAAAAGCCACTGTAAAGCTTGTCACAGATAGATTTGTATGGCCAAAAATAAACAAAGACGTACGAAAATGGTCACGGGAATGCATCCAATGCCAAAAGTCAAAAGTACATAGGCACATCATATCTCCTACCGGAATTTTTCCCGCCGCTAGCGCTAGGTTCGACCATATTCATATCGACATTGTTGGACCGTTACCGATTTCTAATGGTTACACGCATATACTAACATGTATAGATAGATTTACGAGATGGCCCATAGCTGTTCCGTTAAAAGACACGTCAGCATCAACAGTGGCGAAGAAGCTGGTGAAACACTGGATTACAAACTTCGGTGTCCCTACAACAATTACGACCGACCGTGGAACGCAATTCGAAAGCAAACTATTTCAGCAACTTACAGATACTTTCGGTATAAAGAGAATTAGAACCACTGCTTATCATCCGTCTGCTAATGGAATGACAGAAAGATTCCATAGACAGTTAAAAGCCTCTTTGACGGCCGCACGAGGAGATTACAAATGGGATATCAAGCTCCCTTTGATACTATTAGGCATTCGCTCAACCATCAAACAAGACCTCGGTTGTTGTGCTGCTGAGTTGGTTTATGGAACAACATTACGTTTGCCTGGTGAATTTTTTGACCGCGCAACAGATATTCCAGCAGATATAACCAACTACGTACAACAATTAAAACAGCAGATGGAATCCATTAGGTCCGTTAAACCACGAACCCAAAAGGTGAAATCATTCGTACCCAACGAACTAGATAAATGCTCACATGTATTCGTCAGAAATGATAGAGTACGACAGCCGTTACAGACTCCTTACGATGGCCCTTTTAAAATCATCCGAAAGGACACTAAAACGGTTACAGTGGAAAGAGCAGGTAAACATGATACAGTTAGCATCGATAGAGTAAAACCAGCATTTTTAGAGAACACTGAAAAACAGACAACTGTAAAACCGTCTAAACCCGCAGCAGAGCAAGCACCATTCAAACTACCTGCAACAAGCAACACTTTAAATCAAAATTCAGCAGCAGCACAAACTACAACAAGATCAGGAAGAAGAGTACATTGGCCAGATAGGTATGTAGCAACCACTATATTTATCTAGACCAAATCCTGAGACTACTCTTATAACACATAAAAATCCTACTTTATTTTGATTACCCTTTTTTTTATTGGCCCCACGGATCATCATTATGCTTACATTTTAACTTTATACAATTCATTAATGTTAAAT